CTCCACACAACTAATAATAATCCCTTCAAAAAACAAAACAATAATAAATTGGTCATTTTCAAACCACGACTGTTTGTGGGACACTGCTGTGCACAATTGGCTCCCACAAATTTACGGTCAATTCACTTTACAATATATTCTGTGAAGTGCTTTGAGACATCGAGAAGATGTGAAAAGCGCTATATCAAATGCAAGGATTATTATTATTACTATAACATCAACCTCCATGGTTGCACACAACAACTCACCAAGCCAGTCAAGAACCTAGGTGTCTTGTTCGACCCTCAACTGTCTTTTCTCCCCCACATTCAAGCCATGACCCACTCTGCCTTCCCTCCCCTCCGTAACATAGCCCGATTCCGCCACTACCTCACCCCTCAGGCCGCTGAAACTCTTCTTCATGTCTTCGTCACCTCCAGGCTCGACTATGCAAATGCCCTGCTTGTCGGCCTTCCCAACTCCTCCCTCCACAGACTGCAGATAATCCAGAACTCTGCAGCCCGTGTCCTCTCCCTCACCAAACTCCGTGACCCATCTTCCCCACTCTCGCTCAACTCCTTTGGCTCCCTATCCTTCAGAGGATCCAGTTCAAGATCCTGGTCCTCACATATAAAAAGCCCTCCATGGCCGCGCCCCACCATACCTCTGCGGCCTCCTAACACCCTACCAACCCGCCCGTTCCCTCCGCTCAGCCGGCTCTGGCCTGCTCCATGTCCCCCGACCCACCGTCCCCACCATTGGCAGGAGAGCCTTCAGCCACTCTGCATCCAATCTCTGGAATTCCATCCCCCAATCACTCCGCCTCGCCCCCTCCTTAACCTCCCTCAAGTCCCGCCTGAAGACCCTCCTCTTCAACTATGCCATCGGCCACCCCCCTTCCCCTCCCCTCCCTTCCCCTCCCGACCCCAGCTCGGGTCTGAAATGCTGTACTCTGTCCAGCACCTTGGGACATTCTCCCGACGTGAAAGGCGCTATACAAATGTAATCTTGTTGTTGTTGTTGTTGTATTCCATGCTTTCATGACATGCAGTAATTAAGACTATGCTCACTGTATTCCTTTATCTGGATTGTGTTTTCCTGGCTCATTTTCATAAAAAGTAGTGTTCAAAGCAAACCAGCAGAAACAGAACAAAAATATTGACACATTCATACTGGTTCATCTCGTCCTGGTTTGAGTCATGCACAAACTAGACTCTTGTGGTGGTTTCATGTGTTCTCGTCCTTTCCTGTGTCATTTGAAGGCATCACTTTATGATGAACTTTAATTACTGTTAATTTTGTCTGAAACTCCCTAGTAGTCTTTACAAAGCTAAGCATTCTAAGCTTTGTAGATGACATGCAGTCTTGGCATGCACTTATGGGGAGACTGGAACTGTCATGTAAGGAAGATTTATCCTTAGCTAATTACCATTACTTTGAATTTCGGATTATTTGAGTATTGCAAACTCCTGGCTTCGAGTTAGGAGACTGATTTATCTATATCTAAAATGAATCTGATTCCTCCTCCCACAGTATATATTCATTCATGTGCCCTATATTCACTGAGCAGTATTCAGTGTTCTGTATAATGCTGTTTAGGTTTGATTTAGGAAGGCTAACAGCGATCTGAACGAGACTGGTTACACCACACTTAATTTGAGTCCATTCGCTTTGGAGGTGGTTTTAAATCAGGGTCATGAGGTGGAAGTTTTTAATCCAATCTGACAGCAAAGTAAATTAATTTGCGCCATCCACACAGTAGATCTGCCTTAATTATACTGAGCCCTGGACTCAGTGTATCAAATGATGAGAGTAGATTAGTGGAACAATTCTAGCTATCCTGGATTCTTCCAGCAAGGCAGCTCCACAATAAACTTGGATTTTGTTTTGTCTGTGGGTTTGTGCACACTGCTTATGGCTGTACAGAAATACTGATGAAAAATACAGTTTCATAACAGATTCTGAGATTACTTCAGTGACAAATTCAGTTAATGAATTACAATTCAGCGATTCAGGATATTATCGCATTTTACTTTCCCTCATCTTCCCTACTCATTGTCCAGCACCATCTTTCTGAAGCCTCCTTCGAATGGGATATTAAACCAAGGTCTCATCTGCTCACTAAGGTGGAGATTAAAGACCCTATGGCACTGTTTGAAAAAAGAAGGGAGTTTTCCACAGTGTCCAGCGCAACAATCCCTAAGATAAAATTGATCATTCATAGCTGTTTGTGGGACACTACCCAGGCTCACACATGAGCAATTTGGACAAAATACTGGAGAGTTGCTGGTAACTACGGAATTAAGCTCCATTAATACTTTCAGGAGATGATGGTGGAAGGGGGAAGAGTAAGGAAGAAAAGAGAAAACATTTGGAGAAATGTCTTGAAGTCAATGTAATGACTGAAAAAAATTGGGTTATTATAAAAAAACATTTGGACTGAAATCTACTTCCAGCTCTTCTGGCCCGCATCCAAACAGTGCTGTCTTGTTAGTTTAGGCTTTTACACAGGCAGTGATTCAGAATTTAGGTGCCAGATACTACAGGCTGAAGGTCAGATCAGAGCCTATTCTGTTCTGTAGTGTATTGGTTAGAGCATTCACTTCGAAAGCGAGAGGTTCCAGATTTGATTACCGGGCACGGTGAAACCATAGGCAAGTTTCCTTACTCCACATGCCTCTTTTTGTGTGAACATGTGCAAAGTTTTAAATGCTGGTCATGACATTGCTTCCCAAACACAACAAATTTTGCATTTTAAAATTATTGCAGAGATTTTGCTGGTTTCTTAATGAAAAGGGCAGATTTTTTTTCAGTATCTCAACATAATGTGTTTAATAACAACAATGTATTATGTATTACTAAATTCATGTTTGTAACTGTAAACTGTAACAGGTATTACTAAATTAAAGTAAACTGTAATATGTATTACTAAAATAATGAGTCGTGGAGTCCTGTAGCTCAGTGGTTAGAGCACTCGCTTTGCAAGTGAGAGACCTGAGTTCAATTCCAGGCAGAGGCGAAACCTTGGGCAAGTTTCCTTACTCCACACAGAGCCTAATAATAATCCCTCCAAAACCAAAAGCAATAATAATAAATTGGTCATTTTCAATCTACGACTGTTTGTGGGACATTGCTGTGCGCAATTGGCTGCCGCGTTCGCCCACAAATATACAGTCAATTCACTTTACAGTGTGTTCTGTGAAGCGCTTTGGGACGTCCTCCCGACGTGAAAAGGCGCTATATCAAATGCAAGGATTATTATTATTATTATTATTATTATTACCTAGCAGAAGTAGGAACCCAGTTGTTAGGCGATTGGCAGATCACTTTCCAGGGGTGAAAATCCCTTTTAAAAAAATTGGATCACTCACTCCATCACTGCTTGGAAGACACTGCCATGCACAATTGGCTGCCGCGTTTCACCCACAAACTATACAGACAAATCGCTTTACAGTATTTTGTGAAGTGCTTTTAGACGTCTCAATGGCATGATAAGGCACTATATCAAATATAAGGATGAAAGGGCTACTAACTGATTCATAGAGATTATTATAGGGACAAGAGTGCCACTATCTGATTTAGGCTGACACACAAACTGAGCCCAGTGCAGTTGTAACCAATGTCCATACAGGTATATCACCAGCAGTGGACATGGGACCTCAGTCAGGAGTACAAATTGATTTTACTCACCATAACTCTAACCCTTATCCATTGCTCACAGAATTATCCATTATTATAATATAATCTTTTAATTTGCTATAACAACTGTAAATGTTGAAATGTCATAGGTCATTGCTATCAAGTGTAGTGACAGCATTTACAACAACAATTTATATTTATATAGCGCCTTTCACATCAGGAATGTGTCTCAAAGAGCTTCACAAAGCTGCTTTTGCACCCGAACGGTGGGTGGGGGAAGGGCAAGTGACCGAAAGCACGTTCGAAAAGATAGGTCTTTATGCGGCTTTAAAGATGGGGATGGAGGGATGTGAAGTGTGGCAGTACTTTTCACCAAAAGAGCTATGTGGTGTGGCCTCCCTTTATGCTAGGCTTGCCTTCAGCAACCCGGTGTAGGAGAACTTGTGTCCCAGCACTGTTGCACACTGAGTCAAGAATGCACACAACTTAGTTGTTTTAGTCGAATATGAATATAAAATAATTTGTAGACTGCTTTGTCCATCTCTCTGTGTAAAATACAAACAGGTCACTTTATGCTTCTCACAGGAATGTGGTAGTTCTATAAGTTCCAGGCTTGTGTTGAGCATTCAGATGTGTATTCAGATGAGCATTCAAGCAAAATCACAGCAACTCCAGCAGTACCCCAACACGAACTCTGAGATCCCCAAGCCTTGGCTCTTGCCAACCTGCGCCTAATACTTTCCAGAATTAGGTAACCAGGATGGGTCCCTTCGGGGGGAGAGTGCGCATTCCATTCCAACAATCTATCTGTTAGATTTCCATATATAGGTGGGATGCATGGAAATCTCTGTTTCTCTCAAAAATGTGGTAGTGTTATAAGTTCCACGCTTGTGTTGAACATTCACATGTGTTAATATTCAGACACAATCACAGAGCGACTTTGGAGGGGCCTGTAAATAAGAGAGGGTTTCTGTTGTTTCAATTGAGATTTCAAGCAAGAACTCCCCCACTGGAATGCCGGTGTCTGGAGATCCCTATGAGGCCAGTGTGAATGGCTGTAGCTAGAGCCCCTGTGGTTGAAGTGGGGTTGGGGGGAGGGGAAGGGGACTAAATGTGGCTCATTTGCTGGACAGGTAATTTAATACCCTCTGACGAATGAACTGACTAAGGACAACCCTCAGTATAATAAACATTGCAACACTTGGCAGTAATTACTTGTGAAGTACTTTCAGATGTTTTGATGTAATAAAGGTGCCGTGATAACAACACTAACAACCTAATCTATGGATAAGACATGAGGCAAATCTCAAAGATTGTTGGCTAGAACCCCAGGAAAAGCTTCTTTATCTTAGTGTCATGAGATCTTTAACATACACTTGCGAATGGGCAGACAGGAGCTCCATTTTTCACATCTCATCCAAAAGACCATACCTCTACCAATGCAGCACACTCCATTACTACATTCAAGCATAATAGGTATCATTGATAACACCTTGTGTGGGATGATAGAAATCGCAGATACTGTGAAACCAGAAGCTGCACTGGCTGTATACATCTTGAGCAGCATGGGAGTGGATGTGGTGCTGATAACAGGAGATAGCCACAAAACTGACCGGGCCATCGCTACCCAGGTTGGTATCAAGAAAGTTTTTACAGAAGTTCTTCCTTCACATAAAATAGCCAAAGTTCATGAGCTCCAGGACATGGAAGAAACCATAGGGATGGTTGGAGATGGTACGACTGACTCTCCAGCCCTGGCAAAAGCTGACATGGGGATTGCCATTGAAACAGGCACAGATGTGGCCATCAAAGTAGCAGATATACTTATTAGAAACAACCTACTGGATATTGTGGCTAGCATTGATTTGTCAAAGAAGACCATTTGGCGAATTCGGATTAATTTTGTCTTTGCATTAATTTATAACCTTGTTGGAATTCCCATCACTGCTGGAGTATTTTTGCCTATTGGGCTAGTTTTGCAACCATGGATATGTTCCGCTGCAATGGCAGTCTCCTCCGTTTCTGTTGTGGTCTCATTGTTCCTGCTGAGACTCTACAAGAAGCCAGACATTGAAAAGCTCGAACTCTGGGTGTAGGGATGCATGAAACAGTCCATGCCATTGCAGATCAGCATTCGCATTGAGATGGATGAGAAGTGGCACGAGTGACCAAATTGCACCCACATGTGTACCTCAATCAGTGTCCAGGAGGAACAAAACTAGGATTTTTTGCCCCCCCACTCCAAGTAAGATTCTTCTTAGTTAAATGCATTCAGTGAAAAACTTTTTTTGTTACAAAAAAAAGCATCCTCATTCAATGTTATTCACTTTGAAACCAAAGTTACCCAAAGGGCAGGGCGAAACCTTGGGCAAGTATCCTTACTCCATACCCCTAATAATAATCCCTCTAGAAAAAAAACAATAACAATAAATTGGTCACTTCAATCCAGGACTGTGTTTGGGATACTCCGTGCACAATTGGCTGCCGAAATTCACCCACAAATATACAGTCAATTCACTTTACAGTGTGTTCTGTGAAGCGCTTTGGGACGTCCTCCCGACGTGAAAAGCGTTATATCAAAATGCAAGGATTAATTAATTAAACTCTCTTCTCCTGCATCCTAAAAACTTACAGGTGGCTTGAACCTAAAAGCTTCAGCCTCAGTGATGAAAATGGTAACAAAGGAGCCAACCTGACACACGGAGTAAATCTGAACCTGTTTTTATTTGTAGTCTGTCTTGAGTCTAATTCCCTGATACACTACAGATCAGAGGGTACAGCAACAGCAAAATTACATTTGTAAATAGCCTTTAACTTTGGGAGCATGTTCTAAGGTGCTGGCACATCAGTTTGCAGACTAATAATGATAATAATCCTCCCATTGTACAGCTATTGTCAACACACGTAAACAGAAGATACATAACAAAAAGCAAAATAATCCTCATTATCTAGACTTGTACATGAAGAATGGGTACATTGGCAAACTACTGATGACTGCTAAATACTTGAAGAAATATAGCCTAGCATTGTTTACGCAACAAGGACACTACATTTACATTTGGATAGTGTCTTTCACATTGTGCCACTGACGCACAGCACACAGACTGATTCAATCCCTCCACCTTGCCACTCTGTACCTGTTTACAGATCACACCTGAAGACTTTTCTTTTCGACCGTACTTACAGTCATCTCCTCTTTCTCCCCTGCTCTGCAACAAAGTCAGCTGTTCTTCAGCGAACTGAGAAGCAACCTAGTGTGAAGAGTGCTATATAAATGCAAGTTGTTGTTATGGTTTCAGAGCAGTCTTGTAAATGTCTGAGCAGGTTTCCTCGCTATGCTTTCAGTTGTGGTAGGTGCTTGACATGGGTGTTGGGGGAAGGGAAAGGAAACGAGTAGGGGAAAGACCAAGAAAGGCAATGAAAGACAACACATAAATGTTTTCTGTGTACTTGATAGGTCCAGGGATATGGAAAGACGGCACTTTCAGCTGGCTTGTGTTAAACCATCATTAACTATTTTTTCCCTAAGGTGGAGAAGCTCTCAACAAAAAAAGTCATTGACTTTATTGATAGTGCATTTTTTGGGGCTAAGGGCAAGGGGTTAATGGAATGTTCCTATGGAAAAAAGCTGAAGTTCAGTATATGGTGGCTTCTGACCTTCCTTACAAATTAGTACTCTTAAATTGTACTTGGGGAGATTTGCTGGGGAAGGGGGCAAACGTCACTTTTGTGTAGATTCAGCTCATTCCAGGAAACATTTCCTCATGCTCTGGGAGCTATTTTACAACTCACTCATGTGCTCCAGTTTACCGAACTGGAGAGTTCCAGTTTACGCCTCTTTGTGAAAAAGGTGTAAAGGATAACAGCTCAGACATATGGCAACAATCATTGTGAAGACTATCGTTTAAAACCTGATCTAAGCCCTATTGAAGCTTTGCGGTTTTATCTGGTTAGACGACAGCGGTCCCCAACACACAGTCCCCAAGCCTTGGCTCTTGCCAGTCTGCACCTAATACTTTCTGGAATTAGGTAAACAGGAAGCATCCCTCCGGGGAGAAAGTGTGCATTCCATTCCAATAATCTAGATCTGGAATTTCCATGTGTAGGTGGGATGCATGGAATTCTCAGTTTGGTTTAGATAACTCTTAACAACAACAACAACAACAAAATTACCTTTATAGAGGACCTTTCACGTTGGGAGGCCGTCCGAAAGCACTGAACAGTCAGGCGTCGGGGCCCAAGCAAGGGGGAGTGGGGGGTGGTGTAGCAGTGAGGGAAGGCAGAGAGGTGGGAGAGAGACCAAAGGCATGATCGAAGAGAAAGGTCTTGGACCGACCTTGAAGGAGGCAAGGGAGGAAGTGATGCGAAGGGTCCGTGGGATGGAGTTCCGGAGCGTTAAGCATAGTGATGGGTTTCCACATGTATCAGACACCCGGCTGACCAAAAAATAGTCCTATTGAACACAACACAAAATCATATCAAATTCAGATCACTTTTTCAATGTGCTCGAGGGGTGCTATATCAGCTAAGTGCCTATGTCATTTGAAGCTCGCATCCACTTCAGATAGCATAAGCTGTTTCAAGTGAATGTTTTACTTCACATTGAAATCATCTACATTTTGCACATTTCAGTTTGTTTACAGCCGGCAGAACAAACATCTGCATAGAAAGATTTGGATTCTGAAGTTTTTTTTAATTGGCTGTGATGTTTATTTTCAGATGTTTGCAAAAAAATCCACTCGTAGAAGTAAAGTTTGTCCATATCCAAACTACAAGCTGAACACAATCATTTTCCCACTAAACTGCATTTTAGGGCTGCCAGTTGAAGGATAACTAAAATAAAATATGATTTCTCTCAGTACCAAACAAAGCCAGGGAACAGGTTAAATCCTTCACTGCACAGAATGTCTGATTTGTGCCGCTGTGTGGAGGTGACACACTTTCCTAGGGAGGGATGAATGGGAAAAAAGAAATAATCTTGAAAGGAGTTTCATTTATAAATAATAATCATCCTCGCATTTAATAAAGTGCCTCATCATGTTGTTGAGACGTCTCAAAGCGCTTCTCACTTTATATTGTAAAGTGGATTTTATGGACAAAGCACATTTGTGAACAATTCTCTGAGCAGCTCGCTCGGAATAGCTTTGGGCGAAACTTGTAAGTAGGTTACTGACTTTAGGTGATAGTTACACCATCCACATTCAATAATCTCAAACAAGAGGGTGCTGGGATTCTACAAAGGTAACACCCCATTCTCACCTTCGGTCTTTGGTGCTGGTGGTGGGGGCAAGGGGAGAGGAAGCAAACAAAAATGCACTACAAGAGTCCTTCTGAATGCTAATGTGGGCATTCTAGGTTTAGCTATGATGGTTTCACAGTCAACAACAATAACAAAATTATATTGTATAGTGGCTTTCAAGTCGGGAGGACGTCCCAAGGCGCTGGACAGACAGAGTTACGGACCCAAGCTGAGGGTTGGGGTGGGAGAGGGGAGAGGGCAGGTGGGGAAGCAAGGAGATCGAAAGCATGGTCAAAGAGAGGGGTGTTGAAGTGGGTCTTGAAGGTGGCGAGGAAGGGGACGAGATGGAGGGATTGTGGAAAGGTGTTGCAGAGGATGGGTACAGAGTGACCCGCTGATAGTGGGGCGAGCAAGGCGGGGGACGTGAAGCAGGATGGAGCCCGCTGGGTGGAGTTAGCGAACAGGATGGTAGTGGTTAGTAGGTCAGAGAGATAGGGGGGAGCAAGACCATGGAGGGCTTTGAAGGTGAGGATCAGGATCTTGAACAGTATCCTCTCTGTGATGGGAAGCCAGTGGAGTTGGGCAAGGATGGGTGTGATAGGGTCACGGAGCCTAATGCGGGAGAGGACATGGGCTGCAGAGTTCTGAACCAATCAAGGACAGCACCGTGGAGGTTGAAGTGAGAGGAGAGGCGGTGGATGAGGATAGAGTGGTCAACGGTGTCGAAAGCAGCAGAGAGGTCAAGAAGGACGAGGAGGCAGAGGGAATCCTGGTCGCAGATGGACAGAATGTCATTTGTCACTTTGACCAGGGCGATTTCTGTGCTGTGGGCGGCATGGAAGCCCGATTGGAGGAGTTTGAGAAGGGAGTGGCGGGAAACACTCAAACACTCTTAACTCTGAGACCTAGGAGTACGGATACATTGGTCTTTAAAGGTGGGAGTGCAAAGCAGACATCATAAAAATGCTAATGGAATTCTTTTTATTCAGAGAGAAACTGAGTATAATGGACTCTTTATCTGGTTTGGATATTCTTAAACACGGTATTGGTTTTCCGAATGTGTCAGCCCCCCAAAAAGCTATTGAGTACAAGATTATCGAGGCTATGTTAACTTCATACAAGACATTTCTCCTGTCAATATCCAGTGACCTTCATTGTAAATTGTAATTGTAGATGTCTGTTGTTCATAGGATTGGTATTAACAGTGATGCCCCGTCCCACAATGAAAGGTACTGCAATGCTCGCTGTCTAAGCTGATATTGAAGAACAATTCCAAGATTTCAGAGCCGATGTAACTATAACACATTGAGAAGCTAAGGGAAAAGCAACAAAGACAGCATCAGATATGTTTCTCTGATGAGTAGTCCTGGGACTCAGGCCTGCAATTTCTTGCCTGAAAACAAACTAACTTGTGAAACAAAACAATCTGATGAAACACAAACAATGCACTTATAGAGAACGATTTAGTTAAACATAAATTAAAATCACGATAAATATTGTGAACTGTGTAACTTAATCATCTCACTCAGTTGTGAAGTACATCCTAGAGTGGAACTAAGTGACACAGACTTTCAGGTCTAGATCTATGCTGAGTTAGCTGATCTCAGGCAGGATGGCAATGGAGATGCTACAATTTAGGATCTTGGAAGAGAAAACACCAACACAAAAACCTGGGCTGAATGACCTCCAACTGTATGATATATTTCTATGGTTCTAATTGACCTCAGCCTCCTTGAGTCAGTGAAGTCTGTGGGTGCGGGGGGGGTGGGGGGTGCTGTAATGTGTGTAACTGAATGCTGATGGAGGACAATAACAATTTACATGTATATAGTTGAAAGACATCTCATAGTGCTTCAC